ACCAGTGAGCTCAACGGACGTAGGATCTGCTCCCGGAGCAGCACTAACACCCCCGCCGCCTCCGACATCAGCACCATGTCGACCCGTTGGAAGTTCCACAGCTCCTGGGAGACAAGCAGAGCTTGAGGAGCTTGAAGAGGACGGATGTTTCCGGGGAATCGCTCCGTTAAACATCCGATTGATGGATTCCTGCATTACACTGTGAGTAGTCAACAACCAATAACTAATCAGTGATAAGCCCCATCTCTCATGAAAGAAGCCTCGCAATCAAGGAACCCAATTCACAACACTTGAAAAACGGTGGAGCTGCATCGGTACAGCCGATTCGGTCGTGTTTCCGGGGCGGCGCCCCCTTGAACATGCGTGCCAGCACGCATAAACCGGGGCATCGACTGGATGGAGCATCGCCCCCCTCAGATGTTACTTCAGGGGGGCAGCTGCCCCACATGCCCCCCCGTTTGGGCGCCTATGGCGAAGGGGTAGCCGAAACAATGGCATCATAGCAATGACAGAATTTGAGCGCCTCATCAGCGCACTGGAGCAGATGATCGTTCGAACGATCAGCCTCCGAGGAAAGGCACTTAAAATTAGGCAGTAGAGAAAATGCAAAATAGCAATCAATTGAGATCAGAGGTACATCACTCATGCATTCAATGCCGAGTCACGGATTTCATCGGCCTCCTTCTGAGTCTTCTTGTAACGACGTCTCAGTTCAGTAAACTGCTCCGGAGTGGCTTGGAAGTCCTGGAAGCCAGCAGCATCGAGCCACTCAGTAGATGGGCCATAGCCAACTTGAGTATAACCCCAATCAGAATAACCATTCTGATATTTGCCGAGGAGAGTATAATGCAAATTGAGCCACTTCTCAGTAACATAGTCACCAAAGCCGTCCATCTCGGTCTCTACTTGGTCGGGGCTTTCAGTGGCCATCATAACATCAACTTTGTGCTCGATCTCGTACTGAGCCTTCCTAACGTCAGTGATCATATACATGTACTTGAGATCCATGACGTTACAAACAGTTTCAGATGCCCACCAAAGGGACTTATCGCTGAACTCTCCCTGC